TATATATATATATATATATATATAGCTATATATATAAGTATTAGATCTAGGCTTTTCAAATCTGTTTGCCTTTAGGACGATCCCCGGAGCATTTATCATTGCTAGGGTTTGAGCGACTCTTTCTCTATACTGTGATCTCCCAATTTCTCAAAGTGAACTTTTATTTCTCTACACATGGGGTTTCCATACAAATGTTGGTGTTCGATTGAATCGTCTATGGATTTTTCATAACACAAACTCATACCTATTTCTATGCCTCGCATCTACATGCTAGCACACACAGATGCATACAATGTATGTACATATTTTCTTTTGGGCATCATTTTCAACCTACAAATTACTGTTTTATGTGTTTGTGTTCTAGTATCATAGCCTACCCTGTCCCTGACTAGTTTTGTATGTATGTGCAGTTTTTAGCCCACCCCCAACTAGTTGATAAAGATGCTGTCAGTTCTTATTTTTCATTTTATTTAGAACAAGATGACTACCAAATTCATACCAGAATCATCGATACTTTCCATTAAAGTGTGCTGACCTAATTGTTTATCTGTATTTCCTAGAACTGGCCTAAATCTTGATATAAGCTGCAATTTCTACTAGTCAGATGGACACAAGATCTGGTCTCTGTGGGTTACTTATATATAAAAGCACTTAACAGGAAATAACTTAATAGTGAGCCGTACTATTCAAACCTTATTCTATTTTATTATGCAACCATTTACTTCAGTATTCTTATTTGAGATTATGTTGCATACAGACCCATGGTTTAACATGCTCTAACGAGATACATGTCCTCTGTGTTGACTTTCTTTCTGCAGATGGATGCTCGAAGCCTGGCAATGGAGATGGCCCCTATCATTATGTGGCAGAAGGGACAGAGACCAGAAACTTATAAACAGTTCTGGAACCAGCAATCAAGAACTCAATCCAATACAAATGCCGATCCTGCACAGAACTATAATGAGTGGGATATGCTTGCAGGTTTGTTTCCGAATTCTTATTTTCTTCTGCTTACATGTCTTTGGGTGATTTTGGCATTGATATATGTGAATTAGTAATACATGTCTCAAAGAGAATCCCCATGTGACTTGCGAGTTTTTTAAAATTAGTATCAAATGTTCTCTTTCTAGAACTGCGCTTGAAGTATGTAGAGATGATTTAAACATAAACGTTTTAGATATGATGTTCTAACAAATCTATGCCAAATTTTCATTTTATGTTTGAATCTCTAAAATTGGAAGCATGCTATGTTAAAAAAATATAGTAGTTTACATGGGAGTGTGTGTATATATTACTCCTTTGCATACACACGTTACAAAGTTACTCTATTTGCAAACCCCGTTTCTTCCCCAGGGAAATAAAATACTTTTTTGCTCTTGTAGTCTTGAATAAAATCTTGACCATTGTACGGTAGTAGTTACTTGTTTAGCCGCTGAACCTCCTCTACAGACAATTTTTTGTTTCTCACTGATCCTCTAAACGAATATGATGGTGATCGGTTTGAATCTCCTAAATTGGATTCCTTGAGGACGGAAGTGCTACTTGATATAAAATATTCTTGTAATTGAAGTGTTTTTATGCTTGAAATACAGATGAGAGCGAAGATATGGATGTATCATCAGCGATCCCATTGGATGATGGAGTGGCAATAGACTTCAGTGGCATAGAGGTTTTACAGTGCTTAATAGAACATCACAATGCCATTTTCACAGATGCAAATGAGACTGTTTGGAGGTGACCGACCATATCATTCTTTTCTCCAAAATTTGATTGAATAATTGAGTTACCAAATATTCTAAAAGTTGATATGGTGGTGATGTGTATATTTTGTCAAGTTTACATATATTCTTTAGGTTAGAAGGGTATGTATATTTTGGTTTTCATGTTTGATTTTCTTTTCTTTCTTGCAAAGTTTGATTGTTTGTAAATTTTTACACTGATATAGAGATCCACCAAGGACCATGCCAATCTGAACTTCAGGACCATCCCTTAGAACAAGTTGCATGTTTGGTACAACATTTAAATTGGGATGGGACTAAGAGTACAAAAATACATTTTTTTATGCCCCGAAAATCAGTAGGACAAAATTCAAAGAAATGTTATAAGATTGTTAAATTAATTAAGTTATACGTAGCAAATAAAAACCTTACATAATTCTTTATCTAATATCATTTTTGTCTCGTTTCATACTTCCATCCGTGTACAAAATGCATCCTTGTCTTAAAAACAAGCTAAGTTTGGTCCCAACATTCAAAAACCAAAGTTGATCCAGGTCTTTTTTTAATTCGTTTTAGATAATGCATTAATATGTAGGTATAATGTTTAATAATTATTTTTTCTTAAACTTTTATTTTCGAATAAAAATATATTGATTATTTTTTATTTGGTTCAATAACTTGTAATAATATTTAGCTAACAATTTTATTAATTTCAATTCAAGTAAATTATATATTAACAAACAGCAATTTAAGAAATAAACAGGTATACATAAAAAATGATTCGATTCAATTAATGCGGATAGATATTATGAAAAAGTGTGAAAAGAGATTCATATGTGAATCCATTGCAAAAATATGAAAAATCTATTTGAAGATATATATATGAGAACCGACATTACAAATTATTCATATAAGTTCGCATATACATCTCCAATTTAATTTTTTCAATGATTCACATGTGAACCATTAACGCATTTTTTACTTTCTTACGATATTTGGCCTTTTAATTTAAACCTTCACTTGAATAGTTTTGGCAATATTCATACCTTTTTTTTGTCTTGGTAAATCCAATTCTTCAAGATTCCTGGGATGAATAATCATCATCAGCAAGACATGGTATTTGATTTTGTTCATTTTCAGTAAATTTTTATTAGATATTGATTGCTCATTTGTCGTTCAACACTATCGAAATGGTCTTTCGAGCAATTGCATAGTGCCAACGATTGGGATCTTCTATGTTCCCCTAATTTAACGGATTTAAATATTTTTCAAGAATATAAGGTAAGGAGAAAAATCGTGAGAGAAGTGAAGTTATGGTGAGAAACGTAAGAAAAGATTTGAACATTTGATCATTTTTAATCTCATGTCTATCCGTAAATTGCGCTTTAGAAAATAATTGATCTGGTGCATCTCGGTGCTGATAAGATCAACACACAATCACCATCATCAATACGAAATCATCAATGATGAATCACAATCTTACAAAATCATCATCAATGATGAATCACAATCCCCAATGCTTAGTGATTCTTGTATCTTTTTGTACGATTATAATACTATCCTAGAATAGGTTATTCTCTTCTAAAATTAGTCTCAAGAAGTGTATATAAATACTCCATCTTTTGTTAATAATAACAAGAACTTTCTCCATCAATCCTCTATATGGTATTAGAGTTCTAATTTTTAGACCTACATTTCTTTTCCCTTCCTCTTCCAACCCATGTTTTTTTTCCCTTGCATTCCAAATGGCAAATCAAAGCAACTCCTCTCTCATTTCCAGTTCTCTTGAACCCACTAAACCTTTCACATCTATAAACATCACCAACTCCATTAAACTTACACCAACAAATTAGCTCTCTTGGAAATTACAAATTGAGGTTATCTTTATCGGCCATGATCTCCAAATTTTCATTGATGGCTCAACGGTTGACCTCCCTACCACTGCCTTTGCTGCTCAAACCCGCCAAAACCGCCCTCCTCGGTCTGCTGTTCTTGGTATTCTGCCCACTCCTACTAAAATTCCCACCTCATCCTGACAACCTCGACTATCCTTGGGAAATTGGCAGTGGTGTCGTGACAAAGGACATGTCGTCACTCAGTGTCCTATTTTTACTAAACAATTCCCTAACATCAACCCTCCTCCACACTATATTAACTACACCCTCAAGCTCATGTAGTTACTGTTTAACAACCTGCCACGTCTTCATGGCTTCTTGACAATGGCATATCTCACCATGTCACTCATGATCTACAAAACCTTTCTCTCCACAACCGTTACGATGGAACAGAGGAGTTAATCATTGGTGATGGTATAGGTTTAGAAATCTTTCATATGGGTTTTCTTACTCTTCCTATTTCATCCAATCCATTCTTTCTATCTAATGTTCTATATGTTCCTTCAATCTCTCGAAACATCATCTCTATCTCTAAATTGTGTATGGATAATAATGTGTCTATTGAATTCTTACCACATTCCTTTTGTGTGAAAGATCTCAAAACGGGGGCCTCTCTTATCCAGGGTCCAACTAGAGCGGGTGTGTATGAATTACGACCAACCATTCCTTCCGTTTTCGCAAGCACAAAAGCATCTCCACAAGATTGGCACCACCATTGTAATACCCCATTTTCACTATTAAAATAATGACGAAATTATGACCATTTAAATGTATTAAATTTTTAAGATAAATGCTAAGCATGATGATATTATAACAATATTGATATATGATAGATAATTTAAGCTATTTATCCAGTATTGAGGTATTCATATCGAATGTAAAATTTACTATTTTAATATCAAATAATGATGTGATTAAAAAATAATAATTTGAATAGTCAGAAAATATCTTTGTTGAAAATAGAAGAAAATATTATCTGATTAATAATTATGGAGATGAAATATGTAATATATTAAATAAACATAAACATTTAGAAAAATGAAATACATATATATATATATATATATATAATGATGATGATGATGATAAAATGATCACAAGTAGTTTGTTATCTTTTCCAAAAAAATGCATACTTAAGATAGGCATGTAGTTGCTTCAATTCTAAGTTTGGTGGGGATTCTATGGATAGGAATGGATTCTGTTTGGGTTCATCTTCTAACATCTCATATGCTACAGCTTGCTGCTAGGGATGGCAATGGGGCGGGGATGGGGCGGGGACCTCAATACCCGTCCCCGTCCCCAATCCCCCGTATGTGTCCCCGTCCCCATCCCCGCTGGGGATTATGATCACATCCCCATCCCCRTCCCCAACGGGGAACGGGGATCCCCAACGGGGAAACGAGGATTTTTTTTAAAAACAAAAAATTATTGAAATACACTAATATTAATATAAGACTTAAACAAGACCAAAAAGTTTAAACTAATATTATCAAAGTTAACGTCAAACGTACTAAAATTACATCGAGTAATATAAGACT